GTGTCTCTTAAACATGAGTTGATGCAGCCAAGTCCTTGCAAGCAGACTGTTCAACCGACCAACGGAGTTCAGAAATCCCTTTTCAAACGCATGGCCCAACCCACATGGCAAGGTCAGCTCTGCAGTTGATCGACGTGTCCTTGATGTGGGGGTACTGGAGAAATCAAACAACTCCGAACAAAAAATGCATCCGGAATACTTTTCCTGCCTACTGGCTGCTAAACTCACACATTCTCCCCTAACCACCTTGCCGCTGTGCAAACGCACCAACTACTGCGGCAGTCCGTGCCTGGCGCCCTGGTCTGACCGTGAAACATGGCACTGTCCGCAGCCTGGGAAACGGTTCGTTGCCGAACGGTCTCCGAAATGGTGGTTGAAATGGAGATTTCACTGGCAAATGATGACCTGTAGAGTCGGATGCTGGATGAAAAAACTCTGCACGGCGGACTGGCATGAGAGGTCGAAAACGGCCTGAGGTCCTGGCCAAACAGTGTTGCCGGGAAGTAAAGCCGGTGAGACACCGGGCGCCATGTTTGGAAAAGATCACATACTGCGAAGGGCTGTTCGATGGGGTGCTGGTCCGATGTGGCGCAAGTGGTTTCTAACCATTGAGTTGCACTTGTCCCCCTATAAAACACTGCAGGTTGAATAATGAATTCCACTGTGAATATTCACGTTTTAATGGTTGTGCTTTGATCCACGCCAACATTCGCGAAACCAAACTGCCGTGTGGCATTGCAAGCACTTCTTCTCTGGATCCTATGTCCTTGTGTTTCTTTTCCTCTCGATACAGCTGAGCTGCCAGTCATCCAAACAACAATCATCGCACATTGTTGTCAACCAAAGGGCGCTGTGTGGCAAAAATCCGCCGGCCTTCCCGTTGTTTCCGGATGTCGAACATATAGAAAACCCAACTGTGCAGTAAAACAATCTTGTGTTTTTTGTCCGGCGACAAAAAGTCCTCTCTCTCAACCAAGAAAACTCATTGCGTTGTACAAAAGTAAACGTCCCGATCAAGCCAATGGAGGGTATGCAATACGTATCCTTCTCAACTGCTCCTGGTCCCAGAACCCAGCCTCTTCTTACACCTATATATATAAACTCTGCGTTCCCTTAATTAAGTTTATTGAGTCGGTCCCGGCAAAGTTGCAGGGAGACACCAAACCTGCACGGTCCTTAGGATCACCTGCCTACTTGCAACCTGTCAACTGACACGGCTGACTCCGCCAATGAAACCTTTATTGGCTTCACAGCCCCGATCAAGTGCAGTGGCGACAGGCAAACCTTGGACACTCTGAGAATGCCCCTCGTCTCAAAAATGGTGTAAGAAAAAGAAGGGAATTTGGGCCGCAACCCAAACAACATGCAAACTAGCCTGCAACTGCTGACGAGGGGTCTCTTCTTTCTTCAATGGGCATGCTGTTCTGCACGACATCATGCGCCAGGCGGGGCAGGTCTTCAAAGCCCTTACACAGAGTGGAAGAGCTCGACCCAAAGGAGTTGATAGGGTTCATCCCAAAAAGCTGGAGCCTCAACGCGTGCCCACAGGAAAGGATGCGTGTATCAGAAGCCCCCGAAAAAGCCAAAACAGTTGCATTCAAAACCTTCAAAGCCTTGGCCGGCAATCCGTAGTTGCTTCGTTAATTTCTGGCATTTAGATGGTAAATCTCGCAAGTTGGAAGAAGAGCGGAAGCCTGTGGAACAACTACACAGCCATTCCAGAGCGAGCTAGGTTCTGTTTTCCCCTGCCCCTAGCGTTCCTCAATTTAGCTACAAATGGTCCAGAGAAGATGGAATTAAAGCTATCCACGCGCATCAAAACACGGCGTGCTCTCAGTTGGATTCGCTTCTGTCCACTCGATTTGCAACGCCTTCACTTCGAAGTTGTTTGAGGGCAGAGCAACTTTTCAACGTGTTGGCCACTCGACTCAGGACTTTATAGACTATTGGGAAATAGGTTCGATCACTTTGAAATGGCTTCGTATGCTTCAAGGGTGATACAGACAAATCTCCAAAGCCACAGAAGGATCTCCAAAGCAATCTACGCACGGCCTCAAACGAGAAAGTTGCAATATATGCACACAAGGGCCATTTAGTGATCCGAATATATCCAAATGCCCTCTGGTGATTGCGACAACCCCTGTGCACAGAAAATAAGTACGCTCTCACTCCCATGGCACCCTGTTCATTTGCCGGAGATCTGAGGCAGAGTGATCCTATGATTTCTCAAAATTCAAAATAAGCAGCGATAAGTAAGTATTCAACAGCTACCCCAAACACCAAAAAGATCCCAAAGGGATATTTTGACACAAACAACTACATGATTTTTTTGACATGACATGTTTTGTACATACTTTAGGTTGACGAGGAAGACCAGAAAGCCTGGTAGACCATCCTCCGTGGGCCAACCTCGTACCGGCACTAGACCATCGTCCAGACCTCCCCAGACCTCCCAGGTCCGGTCGTGGACACCGATCCAGTGACATAGTTCTAAGGACTAAAAACGAACCCGGAAAAGAAATGGGTGATCCCTGGTTCCGATCATTCGGGAACACGGATGGAACTCATGTTTCGCAACGAGAACGACCTATATATTTGGGGTGGTTTGGGGGGTGGAGTTTTTGGTGGGCCATCTTTGGAACATACTTCAGGTCCAAAGCCCGAGGCTTGATTTCCCAACCGAAGAGCTTGGGCCCCTGGATGCTGAGGACAGAGTTGAATTGATGAATGACCAAATGAATGGTGAAGATGTTCCATTACAAGACCATTAATGACCAATATCATAATCCTCGGATCATCTCGGATCCAAACACCAAATGGGCTTAGATGCTTGCCTAAGACCCATTTTTCATGGTCTGACATACCAGAATCCTGACAGACTTTGGGGAAGATGGGGTATGCCAGGAAACCCCTCAGAGTGCATGGATTTGCTTAAGGAACCTGGACAAAATATTTGACCATTCCGCAGAAGGGGATTTACATTATTTAACCCATAGGGAAGATCAACAAAAACATCACTTCATCCGCAAAGACCAGGGAGCTACTTGTAGTGTATCAAACGTGACAAGGGGACCGGAAGCTGGGAGCCGTATACCCCTCCAACTCCGGAATCGGCTGAAGGGTCCACCACTACTTTTGGACGGCGTTTCTTTGGGAGATCCAATCTCCCAATCTCTGATCGAAGGGTAGGGGAGAAGGACCCAGTTTCCCAAAGCCTCACAGAACTCAAAAGACGACTGAAGTTTGAAAGGACAACTTTCGGGGCAAAGAAGCAAGGCAAGACGAAGTTGGATTGAATCCGGGCCCAAAACCAAAACAAAGGGGAACCGGGTCGGACCGACCCCTGCGTTTAGGTCAGGAGAAGGTCCGACCCCTGCCATGAGGTCGAGCCCGGACTCGGATTCTTAGGGCAGATCCCAAACCCTACCAGCACCTGACTCTACTTGTGGTGCAGCCGAACCGAACGGAGGGTCCAGGTCATTTCCCAACCGGGCCTCTGACGACTCATTTTTGCACGCAGCAAGCTCCACACTTTCTGTGGCCCCGGTTCGCTTCAGTGCCCCCGGCCTCGGAAATCCGTCGAAGGATCGCTCCCCGGCCTCCGATCGCTCCACGGAAACAACGTGGTTCATTCCAACCTGGAAACCCAACCAGAAACAATTGGATGGAACACAGTCCCAGCCATTTCCTACGCAAAGGATTTCAAGCAAGCCATATTGGAAACAACCATGTGTTTCCGCTATAGGGACTGGGTTTCCAGGAAGACAAGTGTCAAAGAAACATGAAGAAACCTTCTCCAAGGATTTCGAGATGTGGAGCAGTGGCCGTAGACATCTCAGTCTGTCGGCATCATCACGGCTGCTTTCTTTTCGTTACATCAGGACAACTTGCAGCCGACTGGGCACTGAAGTATGTACAAGATCCTGGACACGCTGAAATACAGCCGTCCTCGACCAAGTGACTGAAATACAGCAGCTAGCTATGAAACTGGCATACGAAGCATTCCCACGGATTCAATGTGTTCAGGCCACACTGCTACTTACTCCAACCTCACCTGTGCACCCCTTCAGCCCGGCCCAACACACCAAACGCACAAACCCAAAAAGGAATGCTCGATCCAAGCGATTCTTGCCGAGTTGGCGCAAAAACTGGAGACCCCGAGGGCCAAAGACCTCCCCCAGGGCGTGAGAAACGCAAAAAGATCCCCCCTGCAAGGGGGCGCCATCCAGACGGTCCAGACTGTAGGGAGGGCGCCTAGACTAGGCCGCGCGTCCATCTGGCTCCAAGCACACGTCTTTCTTCTTCTCATAAGTCGTGGTCAGTCTAAAGGTTGGTCAACCCTAGGTAGGGGCCTCTACAGTGAACAGTCCGGATCTGTCCATGTCAAAAGAGTAACAGACTGTCACGGGTTGGCCAAATGGTGTCCCTCTGAAAGTGGTTGTCGTTCCCTTGAGCCATGCCCATACCCTGGCCTTCCAAAACCATAACATACCATAACAAAACGAGAACGACCTGGTGTTGTAGAGTAAAGTCCTTAGTAAAACAGTTGTTCGGAATTCAGCCAAAAAAAATATCATGGTGGTTAACCGGAATCCAAACGGACAATACGTACTCCTAATTCACCGGTTGCGGGTGCAGGAGTTGTTCGTGGATCCAGAACGATGTTTGATCCAGCATGGGGATGGGTGGCTCAGTTTCGATCCCAAGTATATCAGCTACACTCCCTGAAATAAGCATGATTACGGGGATGGCATGGCCCCGAGTTAAGATGACCCTTTTCCGAATCCCTAAGCAGTTGTTTTTTCACTGATCATGTTAATATACCCATATGAGCCCATGTATCCATGTTCAATATCAGGGATTGGGTGCTTGCGTCACAGAATCTAAGTTCAAGACGTCTTCAAGAGCAGCTGGTGGTGTATATAGTTGGATTTACTGTCGAGGAGCTGGGAAGACAACAATGATATTCCCCAGAAAGTCTATTTAATTACAAGTTAGAATCACCCCAAGCAAAGCCAGATGTATCCATGCGTCTTGAAAACACCAAACTCGACGTTTCAGGCAAACTCCGCGCCACCCGACGAGTTTTGTGTTCTGAGCCAATCATCTTTGGGACATCTGCGGCTCGCGATGCGCTCAAGCATCAAAGTTGGACCTGAGGCCCATCAAAAGCATGTTGCGTTGACTCGCCCAGAACATGTGAGGGGTGCTGTCTGGCGCAACACGACTAAGGTGTGCGGTGTGAGCATGTCGAAATTTTAGCTGCCCGAAGAATCCGGATCCTCAAACACATAGGGTTTGGTTTGGGCCCCGGATCCCTGCTATGGAGGGTCCGACCCCTGCCATGGAGGCCCAAGAATCAGGGTGTGGTAAATATTCTTGAGAAGAGCGTCGAGTCGAGCATCCGTATTGTATCTTGTACTATCGCTTTACAACCAAGGCTTGAGACACAGGTGTGTGTGTGTGTGTGTGTGTGTGTGTCACCCTCTGTATCTAAAAGTTTTCCACCAACCAATTTCTTTGCAAGCAGGGGGCAGGAGCACCATTGCAAGTCTCCTGCCAACGAAGACACTTGCAATCCGTGGTGATACCAGACCTGATCAGTCTGGCGTACCTGCAATCAACACACTGACACCACTGCTCCCGCTGCTGTGTTTTGTTTCCATGGTTCTTCTCACGATAGACCCCCAAACATTCCCCACAGCCGCTTTCCACCGCTCGTGAGCTGCCGCTGAGTTGCTGCAGATGCGCATTAACATTGTTTGAAACACCTTCACATTTTCGGACACTTCACCTTGCTGTTGAGCCATTCTTTTCCGCGTGGAACAGATGTAACTGCAAACCCATTATCTAAGTGTGCGCCCTTCGTCTTCCCCAACCATACACAGGGTGGCTCTGCGAAAGTACGGGTTGACAGAACTTTTCCACTTGATCCCTCATGAAAAAGGTTTCGCAGGTTATCCACTTTTCCTATAGGAGGCTCCAGCTTTTCACGTCAAAATCCAACTCTTGAACTCATGGGGTCTCTTAGGCAGTTGATCAAGTCACCATGCCGCAACGCATCCTGGGATGTCGAGCACAAACTTGCTCTCAAGACGTTTTGAAAATAGTCCAGTCCCCAAATCAACAAAAGGGGTCCGGGGTGAACCGAGACCTATGAAGGGGAATCATGTGTCTTTTCTTCGATCTGTGTTGGGTGTCATTATCTGTATGTTATTTTCTTTCAAACCTGTCAACAAAATCAATAGCCGAAAGCCCGATCAATGACATGACTATCCCAAGAACTGCTTCTAAAGAAAACACGTCACCCCTCCAAACAGGTCCTATACCAACACAGCCCGGAGCCTCTCGCTGAAAAACACCCGCTGGGCCGCATGAAACGTCAAAAAAAGAACTCCTCCCACTCGCGCAGAAATCACTCACCGCGGCGCAAAACCCCGCTCCGTGGCGCGCAGGGTGACCTTGCGACCCTCCGGGGCGTCCGGACGATTCCATCCAAATCCTCTGAACCAGGACACGCTCCGCACTCACGTGCGTGGCCTGACCGGCGAACGTGCGACTGCTGCTGCTCGCAGTCGCGGGCGCGGCCGAGTCGGTCTGGCCCCCGGTTCGTGAAGACCGTGAAAAGGGGAACGACCGGATGTTGTAGTCTGACATGCTTCAGTAAAACAATGGTTCTTGGGAAGACACCATTGAAGCCAGGCGAAAAAGAAACAAAGGTGCACAGGTGCGCTGCCTTTGGGCAGCCCCCTTTCAAAGCCACGCCAGGGAAGAAGAGGTGAAACTCTCTTCCCCAAAAGGTTCGGTGTGTTTGTGTGTATGTTTGGTGTGCACTGGACCATCCAATGGTTGTCCAATAGAGATCCCTAAGTAGTGCAGGGTAGTCCAGCCAGGACACCCGTTGGATTTTTGGATGGTCCTGGTATGCATTTGTGGTTTTGATGCCCATTATCAGGGGCATCCACTGAACCAAAGCATCAAGGGCGAGGTTCCTGCGAGGCTGGGAACCCGTTTTTTTTCGACAGCCAAGCAAAACGAGTCCCCTGAAGCCGTCCCGGAGCATCCCGGAGCATCGCACCGGACGCGTTGCCCACCACGCGATCACCACGTTGCCACGACTGCGAGATGTCTCTATCGCGATTGCGAGCGGTGTCGATCACGACCCGGATCTGGAGGAGTCTCACTGCGGAGTCTCACCGTGCAAAAGGTGCGAGCTCCAGCCTTGAGCAACACCCGCACCACTTCCAAATGGCCATGGACAGTTGCATCCATCAAGGCGGTTGCCCCGTCTTGCATTGCTGCGTTCGGGTCAGCTCCAACCTCGAGCAACACCCGCGCCACTTCCAAGTGGCCATTCTGAGCTGCAAACATCAAGACGGTGTGCCCGCATCGAGTTGCCGCATTCGGGTCAGCTCCAGCCTCGAGCAACAACCGCACCACGTCCGGGTGGCCATTCTGAGCTGCAAACATCAAGGCGGTTGCCCAGTCTTGAGTTGCTGCCTTCGGGTCAGCTCCAGCCTCGAGCAACACCCGCACCACGTCCGGGTGGCCATTCTGAGCTGCAAACATCAAGACGGTGTGCCCGCATTGAGTTGCTGCGTTCAGGTCAGCTCCAGCCTCGAGCAACAACTGTACCACTTTCAAGTGGCCACAGAGAGCTGCAAACATCAAGACAGTTTGCCCCTCTTGAGTTGCTGCGTTCTGGTCAGCTCCAGCCTCGAGCAAAACCCGCACCACTTCCGGGTGGCCATAATGAGCTGCAAACATCAAGGTGGTTGCCCCGTCTTGCATTGCTGCGTTCTGGTCAGCTCCAGCCTCGAGCAACAGCCGCACCACTTCCGGGTGGCCATAATGAGCTGCAACCATCAAGGTGGTTGCCCCGTCTTGCATTGCTGCGTTCGGGTCAGCTCCAGCCTCGAGCAACAGCCGCACCACTTCCAAGTGGCCATTCTCAGCTGCATCCATCAAGGCGGTTGCCCCGTCTTGCGTTGCTGCGCTCTGGTCAGCTCCAGCCTCGAGCAACAGCCGCACCACCTCCAAATGGCCCCGTTCTGCAGCAAGAAACATAGGTGGACGGTCAATGTCTGCACCTGTCCCATTAGGATTCTGTGGTTTCTGAAGCAAACTTGTAACTTCGATAACTTGATTGTTCTCACACGCAAGGTGTAGTGCCTGCCAATTGGCCTTTTCAGGCGCACAATAGTCCAAGATTACTAACTGCAAACTTGGTAGTCGTCTGACAGGCATATCATCCTGTAGCTCGCCCATCTCTTCGCTCAAGAGTCTTAGTCGAAATCTTGAGTATCCAATCTTTGTGGCAATGAGCGTCTTCAAATCTCTAACATATTTTCCACTCTCCACCATGTAGCCCAATTCTTCCTCATGAAGCTGGGTGAGAACGGCACCTGCAAACGTTATAATCTCCATTGCTACATTCCTAGAGGAAGTGGCTGATCCAACATGGCTTTTGGAGATGTCTCCATTGAAAATGCCACCATGTAGGGAAGACCTTTAGGGTGCTGGTATATAGGCAGTGAGCTGGGCAGTCCAGCCAGGACACCCAAACAGGATGGTCCTTTAAGAAAGATTTACTGCTGTTAAAGGAAGAAAGCTGCAACAGCTGAAACCAGCACCTAAGCCAGCCCTAAGACGTTCTGGTTTTGTGAGAACTTTGGGTCAATCTTAGGTGTATCCCATTGTTTGGAGGGGCACCGTGGATGATGATGGTTAGCAAATGTTAGCAATGCCCTTCTCACAAATAGGGATCATCTTTTACCGCGTCTTACAGGTCATGGGACACACCTTGTCAATGCCAGGATGTTGATGTTCTTTCATGAACAGAAACAATCTCCAACCTCCTCGAAAGCGAAAGACCAAAGACTCCTCGACGAAAGTGGTTCTGGAGGGTTGCACTGAAACAATCCAGCCCCCTTCCGTGTGAAATACCCTTCAAGCGGAAAGGGGGCACGCCATCCTTTCACTGAGGCGAAAGCACGCCATCCTTTCTTCGTTGCCTCCAAAACCCTTCGACTCAGCGGACGACACACCGTTCACGCCTCGCAGATGCCGCGACGAACCACTGCCGCACAGTTCTGAAAGTCCCTATTGGACTCCAAGCGGAGCCTGGCTGGAGGCAGCCGGGAGCTTCCACCTGAAGTGGTCTTTCACCACACTTTGAAGTGGCCTACGAATCGGAGAAGACTCTTAATGTCTGAAAAGACCGAAGTTCATGTTTGCAGGAGTTCATGTGTTGGCTGGAAACATGGGATCCAGACATGAACAAAATCACGCCATTGAAGTAAACACTTTTGAACACCTCCTATACTGGCCACAAAATCATAAGCCCAGCATAACCCGGTGAATCGGTGAATGTCTTGGATAATTGCTGCAAGGCATGACGTGAAGGCGAACATCCCGAAAAGGCGAACAGGTCGAGCGTCTCGTCCCAAACCAGGTCCCGTCACGTCTCGTCACGTCTCGTCCCAAACGGGTGGACCGAGTGGCTGTGCGTTGATGCGAAGCTCACATCGCACACCATTGCAAGGCCTGGCGGGTATATGTGGGCCCGTGTGGAACGAACACGGACCAGCGGTGGATGAATGGGCGCAGGTTCAACAATACCTCGAAGAAATGAGAGCTGCAATCTAACTAGTGAACATAATTACGTAGGACCTACAGAAAACGTGGACATGCGGAAAAAGTGCGCCTTTCGTAGCTGGTCAATTCCTTTTCTTTACTTAACACATGAAATACGGTAGTTTAAAATGTCCAAGACTTGTCTCAAAGAGCCCCCTTTTTAGGGGGAAAGGCTCATTGGAAGGAGAAACGGGTCCGACTGGGGAATGTCCATTGAACCAACGGAGACAGCTGGTCCGTTGATGCCCACGACCGGGTCACCGGGCCAGCACCGCGCCATGTTTCAACCAGTTGACTGGACTGCCAGGGAGATGACATATAGAAGATATGACCTCGAAGGCGGAGTCATCTCCTGTACCTGTACCTCGTACAAAAAGGAAAAGAATGACCAACCAGAACCCAGTCCCAACCAGAACGTTAATATGGTTGGAACCCACCACTGGAACCAATTCCGATCCAGCCTTGGGACCGGTTGAGAATGGAGAAACGGTGGGGGATCCATGCGGATCCAAACCACTTGGTCACTGGTCTACACAGACTGTTTGAGTCCAACGTTGCAGTATCTTGGACTCAAAAAGAACTGCTCAAGCCTTTCAAATCACGTCCCCGCAGCTCCAATTAAGTACAGCTTTGGTTCGGTGTTTGTCACACTTTTCCATGACGCTTCGAGTCCTTGCTGCCCACTAGAAGACGGTCAAAGCCCAGTGAACGTAGCTTGAAAACAGTTGAAACATCTTAAAACCCCCGGCAGCTCCTGCTGCTGCGATGGCATGGCCATCCTTTGGTGGATCTTCACATGCTTCACCAAACGTCGCCGCAGCTTGATTTACCCATGCGGCATCCCATGTGAAAGAATCCCTCGACGCACCCGATTCTTTGGAATCCCACACACAGGCCTGGGTGTAGGCGTTGCTTGTTGTGCAGGAGCCTGTGTGAAAAGGAGCCGTTTCTTTCCTCTCCAAGGGTGGGAGACGCAGCCTTTGGTCTCGGCAACCATGAACGATGATATCACCAGCACCACCCAGTTTCAGATCGGCTGGTTATTGGATAGCCTTCTGCAGGCGGGTCTGTACACCACCCGAACTGGGTGGTGTATAGACCCCTGGTGATAGCCCTTAACCTCTAAGGCGCACATATGGCACATTATAGCATCCCTTTGGGACGTTGGGGAGCAAGGTATTGGACATCCCTTCCCTTTTCCGCCCTTCCGACTTCCGTCCTAAAGGAGAACACCGGTTCCGATCCAAACTCCATTCCAAATGCCACGTCCAAAATCACTCCAAACGCACCTCTCTCTCCTCGCTCGCGGACTCGCCTGACTCGCTTCGCGGAACCTCGCGGCCACTTTGCCGTTGGGCAAGGCAGCCAGCAGCCGAAAGCGCTGGCCCTGAACGCAGCCAGCGGAGCGCGGGAAAGCGCGTTTTGGCAACGACTGCACCAGCAGGGGGCACCCGGTCGACACCGGTGCTATCACAAAACAAAAGAAAAAGCATCAGCAAGCGGATGAACATATGGTGGGAATTTGGAGCATCGGCATTTTTTCACCTGGGGGCAGGCGCCATCATCAAAAGAGAGGTCTTAGGGTTGCACCTCCAAACATCTCGGAACAAATGCATTGCCCAATGCCCCATCTCGAACATAAACAATATGCAAGCTAGGGATAGCCAGGGAACAACTCCGGAACGAGCAAGTTAAGGTACCGCTACGCTATAGGCAGCCAGCTGGGCCTCCCAGCTCAGCACCTATACCAGGACCTTCCATTGGAGGCGTCTATATAGCCTCATAAAGAGGTGATTCTTCAAAAACCACCGGGCGAAAGGAAGGTCCAGGTAGAAGTAGGGATGACTGGCGCAAATGTCCTTCCACGGTGGCCTCTTCTTGTCAACATCAAGAGTATGGGACAGGCATACCAACGGTTGAAGAACCCCACGGCCCCAGCAGGGACTGCAATAGTAGTGACCATTCCGGCCTTTTACCGCCCGACCGTTTTAAGACTCCGGGCCCGAAACCAACACATCGGGTTTTGGGAAAAGAGAGGCCGGACCCCTGCGTTTCGGTGGAGAAGGCCCGTTCGGATACGGAACTCGACCAGTCCCATCGATGGTCTGGGGATGGATGAGAAAGCCGAGGCCCAAAAAGAGAGGCCGAAAGGATAGACGACCACCCTTTCACGCAACCAATTGGACCTGCCAAATATGATAGACCTACATTCACGACCTCAAAAAACTGCCAGTCATGTATAGGCCATATTTGGCAGTTTGGGCAGCTTCGCAGGCGAGACAAGTCGAGAACGCTAAGTATGTGGCGCCGCTGACGACCTCGAACTCCAAGACCTCGCGAGGCTGCGACCCGGGTTCAGGAACCGAAGAATGTAGAATGCGGGAAAAGGGGTGTCTCCACATATGAAAATAGAGTGCCCAAAAACTCTGGAAAAATTAACATGGAACATTATGGAACCTGAAACTGGACCAGACTGGAAGACGACTTTCCTTTACAACCTCACGTGGTTCTCAGGTTCTATGTGGGTCTGACCGGGGAGCCGCCATTGCCAGGTCACCATGTTCGATCCCTTGACTGATTTGAAGGGGCTCCACCGGTCAGGTCGACAGAGCGCCGTACGGCTCCTCAGAGCTAAACGTGCCCTCCAATTGGTTTCTTCCCACAACAAAAAGAGAGGTTTTCCCTCTTTGAAGATAGGTTTTCCCACAACAAAGAGAGGTTTCTTTTCCAATTGGTTTCTTTCCCTCTCCCTACCATGATTTGGGATTCCGAAGACCTAGAATTGTTGTTTTGGTCCATGGATGTCCATTGGTCTTTACGGAAGAACCATTGCAATGCAATTCATTGCAAGTCACTATAAGCGTTTTAGAATACAAAACCAGGTCAACCCTTCTTTTATAATGATCGAACTGAAGGCGACAGGGGTGAACATATGACAGATCCTTGGCTGGCACTCCTTGGTCCCATTGAAGGAAGAACTCCAGGACCACCCTCACCTGCTGCTTTGGCACGTCATGCCGAATACGCAGCGGACCGCAGCAGACCCCGCCGTGGTGGAAGAAACCGCTCTCGCCTCTTCTTCCACATATGGTGCAGTGCACTTCTTTCAAATCATCATGAGTTGAACATGGGCCACGCATGCGAACGAGCCTCTCAAAAGTCCCATATATATGAGCCCACCAGTCAGGACCATCCCTTTTCTCGACACATCACACCAGGCCACGTTGGGGACGAGCCAGGTACCGATCCGCTTCGTCCAGGTACTGATTCGGTCGATGAGTCACTGAGGAGCCACACATGGGGGGTGGGTGCATTGTTGAGCTCTTGAGCTCTCAAGCCTCGCATGCGCGAAAGACCTGGCGATCAGGCGAAAATCCTGGTGGATTTGATGCGTGGCTTTGGCTTTGCGTTTGACCTCAGTCTCGGACCTTCACAAAATCCAGCACAACTCTTCAAAGATCCTGCACAACTCTTCAATCATAAGTCAATCATATCGTAGCTTCTTAAGTCTTACGTTCTACCAAAAACATCGAAGTGCAACCTCATCTTGGAAGCTCCCTGTAGAGCCTCTCCAACCAGGCCCGGTGCCATCCCCGCCTGCGCGAGGACACACCAAGCGCCCCGGCGCTGGCCACGCGTCCGAGACTTTGCTGGACGCCGTCGAAGGCGTTCCGCCCAAGACCTGCGCCCGCGGGCTGCGAGAGAAGGGTAGGACCGGGAGGGGCGATAGAAATGCATGCAAAGGCATGCTGAAATTTCCACGTTCACTTGTTGCAAAACGTATGCTTTTCAAAGATTAGAGTATGCAAGAGAATTGCCAAACATAGCAAAACTGAGGTCGTGCTGAGATGCTCACGGACTTCAGCAGAGCGGGGCAAAGCAGCACCAGCTCGTCTTCGTCCAGCTCGATGGCAGCACGTTGAAACTCCGGAGGACCCTGTCGCGTGGGTCGCGTGGGGGTCGCGTGGGGGTCGCGTGGGGGTCGCGTGGGGGTCGCGTGGGTTGAAGAAGTGGGTCGGCCGTGGCGGTCGTATGGGTTTCGCCACCAGGGGCGCGGTATGGGTTTCGTCAACAACCAGTGACCTGTGCAGTTTGTAGTCTTTGGAACTGGTGGATCTATACCAGGGCCCCTGGGCCGGTGTCCAATTATAGCTCCTTAGAGGTGATTCGGGATGTCCACTATAGCCACCCCTATTCCGGGGCCCTGGTAGTTTATCAAGTTTAATCATGTTATCCCATTACGAGCAACGGTGGATGATGATGGTTTAGTTGCAGGCGGACATCTCAAAAACGGGTATCATGTATGATGTTCTTGTTCACCAACTGTTACAGGTACTAGGACAAACCCAAGTTAAAGTGGTAGCTGGATCCCCTGGGCTATGTTGAAATGTGTTCCAACAACAACCATTCTCTTTACGGTCTATTTCAAAGATACTATGTTTTACTCTGTTTTACATGAGGATTTTGGACTACTACAACAGGCCAACCAGTCTTTGAATGGTCTTTGAAGGTTCGGGAACATGTTCCCCAAGGTCTGGAAAAGATCCCTTCACTCGTTCACAGCTCTACAGCTCTATGCACTAAGAGCGAGCGAGCGAGCACACGATGGTGACTGACCCGATTTTTTCGACCGAACATGGCTGAACGGAGAAGCACAGAAATACACCAGCCAGGCACAAAGTGTGCATGTAACGCACTAAAATACATATATACTTATCATAAATGTTAGTATCATGTTATATCATGTTATATGTACGTGAACAGTACCTGTTACATTCGATTTACTAAAATATGTATCATTCCCTTTGAATTAGAATTAGTAAACCGCCCGACTTCCAGATGTCTCAAAACCGATCGGGTCCAGACCCCTGACCCAAACGCCCCTACGTTTCACGGAGGGTCCGGGGCCTTGGCGTCTGGGTGGAATCTACCCGCACCCTCCAACAGGTCTCCACCTGCGACTTTTAAGTCTGCAAATGGTGGAGATAAAAATGCCCATGAATTATAATAAATATGCTATAAAATTTATGGGTTAATAAGTGATTTTTAATAAGTGGATCATAAATTTTATAGTCCTTACAATCACCGGAGACCTGTAGAGTCGGGTCCTGCTATGTGTCCATCCGGTTCACCGAACTGTCCAAGGTTTCCCCAAGTGGTGATGTGGAGCAGGACCTGCACTGCCAGGTTAGTTGAGGCGTGGAGTTGGGGCTCATCGTCACGAGGTGTCACTAGAGCCTGTAGTTGGCAGGACTGGGAAGTGATTCCCTCAGTCACTTAATTAGTACAAGAAAAAAGTGTGAAGACCTATACACCTGGCGCTTCCAATGGGTGTCCTGTCTGGTGACCTATTTTTTTAGCAGGGTGACGGGTTGTCCATCCAGGTCACCCCCTAGGACCCAGTATATAGTCATCTAATTATGGGAGGGACGACCTCCAGACCCCGTCTCTCGCCTCGGTACCGCTTGGCCGCGGAGAGGTGCCTCGTCCGCGACGGAACCGCGCGAACCGCGCGCGCGCGCCGTTCGCGGCTTGCTTGCCGCCGCGTCCGGGTGGGTTCGAAGAAGAGCGGCGTGAAAAAACGGTGCGAAGCCGCACCGAAACAAACGGGAGGTAACCAAAACAGGATCACTAAAACGGACAGGATCAACACAAACAAACAGGATACCTGGGATTTCCCCTACCTGGCAGGTCAAGCTACATGGTGGACTGGTCAGGCTGCAGGTTTCGACCCATACCCACATAACACGAAGATGAAAACATCACATGGAAGTCTTCTTTTTGGAACCATGCCATCCACTTCCATGGAAATGTGAGTCACAGTGTGACGATAACCGTGCAGGAAACACGAGGACTGTCATGCTCTGACTATAAGTCACCCAAGTCTACGAACTTCTTAGACCTACGGTGATGCCTAAATATAGTCGGACCTGGCTTTGTAGTGTAAATCCGTAGTAAAACAATGATGTTGTTGGAATCCCAGCGAGTTTGATCAAGTTGCTTGTCCCATGAACCCAGCACGAATACCGTAAAGGTCATAAACGAAGACCCCTTTAAGTTGTCTTCATTGTGCACCACTCCTTTGGCCTAGTCGACCCCACTATAGGTTCTCTAAAGACAAAGAATGCGCAGGTCAGTGTCTTGTAACACAAGATATCCAAACATCTTGAGACCTGAGTCGTTCGGAGTCAGACTCCCCGTTTGCCTTGGCGACCGTTTAGAACGACTCAAAGGAATGGGAACCACCACGTGTGGACCAAAAACACCTTAAACATCAATGGCGGGCCGCGAATCCGATGACCGGTAAGGTATTTATACTCCCTAAGTGAGCCGTACACAAGGTGAGTTTGACCTCATGAAATCTGAAGTTGGTCATACCAACACCACTGAAGGAGGGCAAACATCCGGTTTTTCTGGGGACTGGACTTGTAGGGGAAGTATCATCACCAGGACCTGTGGTTGGGGACACCATTCGACACCCCTTAACCATCCTGAACCTCTAGGGTATACCTTGAGTCTATCCTATTACCAGTGACAGTGGATGATGATGGTTGTTAACTGACTGTTACAGGCTAAAAAGTTGGACAAACCCAAGGTATAAGGATCTATATATAAGGTATACCTCTAAGGTATAAGGAGGCTCCTGGTTCAAGCGAGGGAGCCCCCCGGTGGCCTGGCGAGGCCGCCAGGCTGGGCGCCTTGGAGTGCAGTGCTGTCATTCCCTTTGGCACGAGCTCAAAGTTACGGGACAACATCCTCATGAAAAGACATACATAACATGAAAAACAAATTAACTTTGAAATGGTAATTGTTTTCTGAATATCCTCTGTTACCACAAAATGCCAATCGTCGTCCTAAAAACGATTTCAAAAATGGGCTCAAGACTACAATATGTCTCATGCTCTCCTTGTCTCACCTTCGCCTTTCCACTGACCACGGTCCGCTCGTCCCCGCGTGGAGCATCTCTAAGCTGACGACCGACTTGCGGAGGTCACTCGCATTCAGGAAGGCCACATGAACCTGGAGAGGTGGCAAGGTGCGGTGCAAGCCCGACTGGGACATACCTGGCCTACATACCATGGGCTGGTGGGAGTCAATGTAGGCATATATTCCATACGTGGATGGTCTGGGTGGTGCAACCCTCACTGTTTTCAGCTTCTCGTCCGCCCGGACTGAGTTGGAGGCCGGAGGCCGGGCCACACGAGCATGCGCGGCGAACGAAGCAGTGCTCGAGAGATGGTTTGGGTATAGTCTGGAACCTATACCAGGATACCCTAAGGGGTGTCTATTGATAGCCCCTTAGAGGTTAAGGGGTGTCCATTAACCACCCCTTGTGGGTCCTAGTAGAAGCCCGGACGATTCTTGGGCACCCATGTTTCACAGAAATTCCGCCGACTCAGAATCACCAAGAAAGTGACTGGACTTCCAGGGGACATTGTAACATACCCATGCACTCCATGAAACTGGAATCTATGCCGCCCCATTGACCCCTCTGGCACCACCCCAATGTAGACACATATGGCAGTCCCATGGAGCATCTGGGATAGGGAGATCCCCTTTCTGGCCCCTTTCTGGGTTTGATGGGTCGAATTGGTCCGATCCGAACCCCCGCGAAGCGAAGCAGTTGGACCTGGTTGACATGGAATGACGCTTGGCGTTCCCCGTTCCACGGTTCACCTGGATGGCATGGGCTTCCTTTTCTCCACCCCGCCTTCTCTTCCCTCTCTCTCTTCGAAACACGACCGGTCTTGATCGCGCCTCGGGAAGCGACAAGGGCCAGCCGCCAAGGCCAGCTTCTGCCTGCACAACGCCGTGGAAGCGGACCAAGCCCCGGGCGGAAGCCGTGTGAGCGGGGCGTTTCTTCCAACAACGCGACCGGTGGCGCCAAATCGCCGTTCACCACCCCAAAACGAAAGGTCGGCCAGATTGGCAGTCCCATTGGAGCATCTGGGATTGATGTTCTATGATTTTCTCATTTACAAGCCGGTGCACTTCACCCATGTTAATACCACCGGGCCCTTCTCTTTCTAATACGTTTCCACCTATGTTGATCACGTCCCAGTTCGACCCCAGTCACGGCACAGAACCGGTCACACCCGCACCTTCCCTTCGACCTGTGTATCGAAGGGGGCAGCTTGCGGCATGGTGCCAACGCGCACCGTGTCCGTCCTCGGAGATGGCCAGAGCACTTTGACCCGCAACTTGGGAGGAAAGCTGAGAGTCCAGTCATGGCTCAGGACTCATGGTCCTATGGTGGTGGATGATGACTCCTGCTCTTTGCTGCAAAGGGGAGTTTGCTCAGGCCATTCGGGTCGTTGGGGGTGTCAGCTCGGCTTCCAGCGGTTCAGCACGACACAGAGAAGTGCTACAGCCAGGCCTCAGTTGGCAGCACTGGAGATTTAACCAGCCATTTGGGTGTGTAATAGTATGTACCAGGGGCCCTCAAACCATGAAAAAACAAAGGTTTTCACATACAAAAACCATGTTTTTTGCTAGGGAAAACCGGGTGTTTGATGGTTTGGTTCGGGTCCCCCTGGTATAATATAGGGAGACACGGCCCGGCGCTGGGTAGACTGGGTAGACTGGTCTATTCTCCAAACCTTCCAGGGGGGCTCAACGCTGGCGGTTCGGTCTCCGGCTTCAGAGACTTAACCCCAAACTGAGGAACTTCTTGAATCCATGATTATGTTCATTTGCAGAGAGCATACAGTATAGATTTGCTACGTTTCCTGGAAAACAATGAGATCTGGCATGGCCAGATTGATGTCCATGCGTATATCACCTAGTGAGTGTGAGAGATCCAAACTTTTCGAGTGCATCAAATCCCTTGTTATAGCAGTCAAGGCAAGAACTTCCTTCCCAATGCCCAAAGCTGAAACCTTCACGTTCAACGTTCCTCGAAAAACGATGGTGGAAAACCAGAGTCTCCATACATTGCATGCAGCAGCAGAGTGCTGAAAATAGGATCGGACTTTCAGCCACATCAACTAAGTCTGAGCTGCATGGCCCACAAAGCCGTGACAAAACGACACGAAGCTCTCAAAGTTTCAACCCCTGGAACTCCATGTTGTTTCAACCACTCCAACGGTGAACACCAGAAATGACGCCCACTCTCCACTCTCCAGGCTTCCTCTTCGGATCCTTAGCGCCGACCTCTTCGCACCAAGACGAACCGTTCGAACCACAGGGGTAGAAACACCCTCATCTCAAAACCCTTAGTTTAGGCTCCGGATCTGTAAGGTTCATTCAAACCGCGCAGTGACGACCAGGGAATGTCCCCCCCAAAAAAGGGCCATTGGTATCCATTGGTGCTTGGAGCGTCGGACCACACTGGTCAGCTTTCATGGCTTGGAAGCTCAGCTTCCCATGGTCCTGAGCCCCAACCGGCCCGGTGCCGAGCCCAAATGGTGGCGTCCACCTCCACCCGAAACGCCCCCCCGAACCGTCCCAAGGCGCATCCAGGAGAAGAGCGCAGCGAACGCGGCGCCCAAGCCATCCGTCGGCAGTGCCAAGGGCCTTCAGGGGGGACGGTCGGGTCCATTGGACCGTCCTTCAGGTGCCCGGGGTCGACGAGTTCGGCCGAAGGTCGGCGAGTTCGGTCGCGGAGCGTGCGCGCCAAAAGCGCGCGCCGAGGAGACCGACGGGGCGGGACGACAGCGTCGCTTCCGAACTGCTCGGTGGGGCGGCGGTCCTTCCAGGACGCGACGAACGGGGCACTAAGGGCATTCGCCACGAACGGAACAAGGTGGCGAAAACGAACGGGGCTGGCCTTACCTAGTAGGAGCGATCGGACGCTAGCAACCGAGCTTTTTCGCGCGGGGTCTTCTTCGGCTTGGACGGGAAGACCTTCAGCTTCCAAACGGCTTTTTGTTCGTGTCCCAAACGCTGTGGGGGCTCTGTCGGTCGCGGCATCGTTCGATGGCGGCTAGGGCCGAAAAAGGGACGCGTCCAGACCGGACAAATAGGTCAAAACTCGGTCAAAACTGGCAAAAAAGATCCTCTTCAAAGATCTTCACATGGTGCAAGAAAATATGTTTCGAGAAACGAAGCTGCTTCCAGCAAACACGTTCTTCCGCGTTTCTTCCGCGTTTGAGTTGCCTTCAAACCAGGCTCCCACGCTGTCCTAATGCAGACTCTTGATGAATAAAACCCCCCAAACAAAGGGCTTAAAACAACTGCACTGTAGAACCTCTTCTGCCTGAGGTGTTGAAATTGAAGATCTTGAAGAGGCCATACAGCAGGACGTGAGATTTACACCCAACCACGGTCCAGTTCTCTTCCCTCACCAAGTTACGGTCCCGGGCATCGGGGAACTCCCGGCTGGGTCGCTCCCAGCTCCCCGTTTAGAGGAACATCGTTTTGTAGACGCCCTAGAAGAGACCCACGAACCTGAGTTCACCACGTCGCGGTTGTATTCGGAACATCGGAACATCGCTCCGAGGTTCGTGGAGTCTCTTCCCAGCTGTATCCCCCCCCTCCTCCATCGAAGCCCAGGGTCGCTCCCTGACCCTCGGGCCCAGTGACCCGGAGCTGCGCAAGTGGAGCTTCGGCACCGTGTGCTTCTCCGCCCCCACACCGCCTCAGGAGACGGAGTCGATCGACAGAGACGTCCTGTTCGGCACGGCCGTGCCCTTCATCCACCGGAACACCAGGAGCTCCTCTTGGAGCTCCCATGATCGAAAGGTCCCAGATGGTGTTCCAAACCCAAATGACTTTGGGGAGTCCATGTTCCGGTCTTTCCTCCCATGTCTCGTCTGAAAGACGGGAGACCGCCACGGCGCAACAGTAGCGCAATGGCGTGGCGCGCATGTCACGCGCTCGCTCCTCGCCTGCGTCACGAGGGGGCGGCGCCAGGGCTCTTTCGGGTACCACACCAGGCCTGACATGTCGAGCACACGGAGGTGAGGTCGAGGGAGTGCCGCCGGTGGTGCCTTTCTTCTGAGGTGTGAGGGTGTCCCAGCCTGGTGCCGGGACCTTGGAAGGGCCGGGACCTTGGGGCAGAAAAGCGTGTGGGTCAAGGTCCCTGGAGCTCTGGTGCCCTTAGCTTGATCATGTCACCATGATGTTCCTTTCTCCTTCGACCCACTGCCAAAGACAAGAATTGACTGGTTCCATCTGCCCTGATGTGTCTCTCCCAGACGCGACTCTGGACCCGAACCAACTGCTACATGTTTGAGGTCCAAAACCCTATAGTTGTGAGGGTCAAAACCCTAGCTATGAGGGTCCAATGAGCCTTTGGGCTACATCTTTTTTTCCCCAAACAGTGTGGACACACTTAGGGGTTCTTGCGGTAATAGAAAAGCAGCTGATGCTTAGATCGTTCGTGGACGGCTAATTCGCTGCGTGGATGTGTCTCTACATCTTTTTTTAACCATATGATCTTGGCAGCTTCAGCACGTGTGTGACGGGGCAGCTAAGCAGATATGATTATATATCGAATGCATGGTTCTTTTACATGTGAAAACTGCCATCTGGATGGAGTCCAACCTACAGTAATTATAGTAAAAACTACATCCACTGCCATGTAAAAAACCCAAGATCCCTAGATCTCGAAGATCCACCCCTGCCTGGACCACGAGCTCACACACTCGGAGGCCGTCGCCGCCACCATCGACGTCTGCACCGGGCGGCGCATGCGGAAGGCATGCACGCGGTGGCCACGCACACGGCGCGGTGGGGACGACGGTGGGGCAGGTATGGAAAGAAATCCCGCCCAAGAGCCATGTCCCTTGTAGTCTAAGACATATTGTATAGGCTACTAACCTTCAAAGACCTTTTAAAGGCGGTTGACCTGGTTTGTAGTGTAAACTCCTTAGTCATCGCAATGGTTGTTTGGTTAAAGAGTATTTAATCAATGGTTCAAATCCGAGGGCAACATAAACTAAAATAAACCAGCACCCTCCAACACGTGTTTCCTGTGTTTCCAAGTCCGGTCCCTAGGTTCACCACCGGTTAGGTCGGGTCTCCAGACAAGCGAACCGAACAGAGGGTCCTGGTATGTTTGCCTTCGAAAGGGTTCTTGGTGGACCGAACGGAGGCTAAGACCGCCCCGACCTGGCGCCGGGGGGAGATCTGCTCGTAGCTCAAGATGCGGACCTCGGTCCGGTGGTTGAGGCCGAACAGCTCATTGCAGCTCATTGAACAGGGACCCAGGGGTGCAAGCTGTGTATCCCAGGGGTGCAAGCTGTGTATCAGCATATTACATGATCTCCATATAGCATGTCAGATCTCCTTTGGTTCAACAAGAAATTTGATCATCAAATGTGTCCAATGATACCAGCGGCCATGCCGATTGGAACGGGAAATAAATTCCACCGGCGGTTCTCTGCCCCATCACAACTATCTCTGCCTTAGCATGCCTAACCCAGTGGATTCCAGGCAAACCACCATATATGTAAGGAACCAGGGATTCTAAGTCTATGATGCTTGTCTTTGGAACCACTGGTTACCAGCAATAGTGGTTTGCCTGGGATCCACTGGGTAAGGTTTTGATACATTGTTTGTGAGATCCATTGCCAGGACCATTCAACAATTTAGAACCCTGTAACTGTTCTTTTCCCCACAAACTAAAATTATTGGCCATATCCTTCAAAGACAATTTAAAAATGGTTGAACTGGTTTTGTATAGTCTAAAATATTCTAAAATCCTCAGCAAAACAATGGTTCTTGGAATCCCAGGGCTTAGAGAAGACCCGTAGAGTTTTTCTGGCTCAGAAAAGTCCTTTCACCCTTTAAAACATCCTCCACAGTTGGAATATAAAAAAAAGCACTTCCTGGTCAAATCCTTCTCCGCAAAAGCCTCCAGCAGTTCCTTCTTGGAATGGTTTTTAGTCCCAAGTCAGAGTGGATGATCTGGGCATCCTCCCCTGTGAAGCACCTCGACATGGAACCGCCGGGATTGCTGCCTTTGCTACATTCATCTACATGGAGTCTTTTCTGTACCTCGAATCCGGCACAGTCATACCTATTCCTTTAGGCTTTTTTCTTCGGGTCATGTCATGTCCCATTTTCTAGAGCACTTTGCAGTGTCCAGGTACATTCTCCAGGCTCTGCATGCTCCACCGACGTCCCCGCCGGTCCGGTCCGGGCGCTCCGCGCGAAGGCTCCCCGCGAGACCAGCGAACCGAAGGCGCTCTTGCGGCGCAGGTGGCTTCCGGCGTCCTGGGAGGCGCTGGATGAGGCGGTGGGGGCGGTTGGGGCGGTTGGGCGCTGGCGCTGGAGGTAAATGTGGGAGTTTGAAAGGTGGTTGCAAGCCAGATCCTGCCAGGTGGTGTCTGGTTTGGCTTCTACGCTAGCGCTTCCGAAGTCAGCTTGGATTTCTAGACTTGTCCAGCCAGGTGACCCTGCTTTCGGAAGCAGCTTCTAGACTTGGTCACCAGTGCTTCTACTTGTTGAATCCATGGGGTGATCCTTTGGGGGGATGGGGGGATGTAGATCCGCACTCCGAGCCTCCCCAGTTGGCCAGAGAAGTGTTGTGAATCACTTTTTCAAGCAACGAAAGCCCAGTCGCTCCGTGAAGGACACCCAACCTTCCGGTTCCCGAACCAAACCGCTCGGGATGGGTGAGAAACCCCAGGGAAGTTTGGCAGCCACCCCCCGGAATCTGGACCGGCCCCCCCAACGAAACGCAGGATAGTTGGGGTGGGTTGGACCACCACGAAACCGACACGCTAGAGCCAAATGGATTGAGCTACAATGGGGGAGAGCCCCGCCATTCTGGTTGAAGATCCTTCACCACCTCTCCGTCCCGGTCCGGACCGAGTCCGGAGGTCCGGAGGTCTGGACCGTCACCGACCGAGCAGGTCCAAGGATCCCCAAGCTGGCGCTGCAAGCTGGCCACCAATCCCTTGGCGCTGGACCTGAGCATCCGCCGCGACGAACGGAAGAAACGAACCGACCATCGCCGCGCCGGAGAGCACGCCATTTCGATGAATGGGCCCGGGCGGTACCGGACTACGCAACTCGTGGATCCACATGACCATGGTCTGGTTGATGAATTCATTGATCCACAATGGGCCGTGTATTTCGGGGTCCGGGCCCGACCCCCCAAACCCGGAGACTTCGGGCCCGGATTCGTCGGGTAGGGAGAATCCCTCATTCACCCCCGGTTTGGGAGAGGCTTTCGTCGGAGGTGTCCGCACCTGCCACAGGTGCGTCGGAACGGCCCTGGCCTAGCCTGATCGGTCCAGGATGGCAGTCCAGAAGCGGACTGTGCCAGTCGTGTCTGGGAATAGTGATTCGTCATTGAAATGTCATGAATCATTGATGAATATTGTCTAGTCATGATGATCATGATGCAAAAACCAGGCCGTTTGGGGTTGACATGTCATCCCCAAAAAGGACTCGACCTCAGTGTGGCCCTCGGTCGAGGGACGGAATCCCCGGAACGCCCTAGGCCTTGCTTCCTGGCCCACGATGAATTTCATCGTCTGAATCTCGAACAGTACCATACCCAGCAAGTCCAAAGGACGGGTTAAACTGGTGCGTTAGAGGACGCATTTCACCTCCCAACTTCCAAGACCTAATTTTCACCGGTTTTTCACGGCCTTTCACCCTGTTTTCACGGGTTGTTCATGTCCTCTTCACGGGTGTTTCACGGCCTTTTCAAGCTTCCAGCTCCCTTGTTGTTAAAGCACCGGTTCAACCGGTGCGTTAATAAAGAACTGGTTAAACTGGTGCGTTGACCCACTTGGATATAAGGAAGCGTTCCAAAAGCTGGACCAAAAAAAGACACCGGAAAACCTGAAACCCATCTTGACGGTCTTAAAAGAAAAACCGGTTAAAACCGGATAGATCCACCTTCCGATCGACAGCCTCGTCAGATCGTCGTCGTGTTTATCACAAATGTGGAGCGCGACATGAACAGCGCAGACCATCACATGCGACGTCGACACGCGGAGACCGTTTGGAAAGAGACCTGGTTCCGCGACCGCGGAAGAGAGTCGACGCATGCGACGACCGTCTGTCGCGTCGCATTGGGTGGCCCCACCGCCGCTCTTCGTCATACTCAGCAGTATCCTGGCGGCCAAATACTGTTTTCATGTGCCAGCGGATACACACAAGCTTTATTGTATAATGTTGGACGCTGATTAGTAATAGGGCCCTCTATAATGCTAAATGTTTGAAAAATAATTCTTGACACCCTGTTTGTTTTAAGGGTCCTCTATTATGCTAATTTTGTGGGGGATCCTAATTGTTTACTATCTGAAAAATATTTAGGGTTAAGTATATGTCCGTTAGAAAAATATAAATTTTAACTATTCATACTACTAAGCCAATGGTTAGCTTGCTGAGAGTATTGATAAGTATAGGTTTCTATAGTTCTTCTTCAAAACTGACAGCTTCCCAAAACCATCAATTCCCTAATCAATCCTTTATGTAAAGATTGCTCCTAAACAAATTTTCAAGGTAGTAGACCAGGAAGACCCGTGACAGGAAGACCCGTGATCCTCAATAATGAATTTGTTTTAAGGGTCCTCAATTGTGCAAAGCTTTTTCCTGAAGAAAAATATAAATAGTAATTCTTAATACTATACTAAGCCAATGGTTGGCTTGCTGAGGGTATTGATAAGTATCGGTTTCTCAAGTTCTTCAAAATCACAGCTTCCCAAAGCCATCAATTCCCTAATCAATCCTTTATGTAAAGATTGCTCCTAAACATATGTTCAAGGTAGTAGACCAGGAAGGCCCGTGATCCTCAATAATGAATTTGTTTTAAGGATCCTCAATTGTGCAAAGTTTTTTCCTGAAGAATAACAAAAATATACAAAAATAGTAATTCGTAATACTACTAAGCCAATGGTTGGCGTGCTACTACTACTACTACTGCTGCTACTACAACTACAACAACAACTACTACTACTTCTACTACTACTACTTCTACTACTCCTACTCCACCTCCACATCTTACGCCGAAAAACATTCAAGAACATGGTTTGTCGTGAGCCACGCCGTAACTTGGACCCCCCGAAGCAATTCACTGAATTGCTGCAGACTGAAACTTGAGGCCGAGGGTAGGTGACGAAAGCTAGCAGGGGTGCATCCGGACTGGTGGGACATCAGGCGGAGTGAGGCAAATGCTCATGAGGTTGTGAACATGTAAGACACACAAACAGCAATGACACAGCCAACCTTAGAATTGAAGTCCCCGATAATTAAGGAAGCGTGGCTGGACTTTGCCACACTGTTCGATGCATCCGATGTGTTCACGAACCTGTGAGCTTGTTGAATCTGTTGCGCTGTATCCCAAAACCTCCACGGAGGAGTTGAACCAGTGTGGATGCCATAAGAGGTGCCCAAGAGGTGTCCCAGAGGCAAAACAAAGCTGCTTGCATGATTTGTTTGGTTTCTTCTATCGATGTCGATGTCATGAACATGTGAGCTTGTTGAATCTGCTGTTGGATCGTCATGTATATGTAATGAGGGACTGAAGAAAAGCAACGCAGCATCATGAGCATCACGGGAAGTCACAAACCAGGCGTATCAGATACACCTGGCTTATGTATGTTTGTTTGAGCATCTTTGTCGAGTGAAGTGTCAGCCATATGCACTGAGATGCCGAAGGAAGCTCAAAGGCACGTGTATCTGATACGCCTGGTTTCTGACTTCCCGTG